CAAGTTTGAATGGTTCCAATTGATTAATCTATAATTATACTATAAGAACATTTATTAATATCCCTTTTTGAGTAATTTTCCCAACATTTAACTCCACATTCTCATTTCATCAACATTATAAACTCACACCCAATTATATCCATTAGGTTTACTAAGTTTTAACAACTTATATTGTCATTAACGAGTCATTAAACCGTTATTAATGGCCATCAAATACTCCTAACAACCTTATTTATTATCATTTTTGGGTATTAATGGTCCCAAAAAACTAATAACTTATAAAACCATAAACTGTAAGGTTTAAATACTCCAAACCACTCTCATTATTCATGTTTTAGCTAATAGACTTGAACTCATAGCTCATATGGATTGAAAATCATTATTTCAACTCAAACTCTAACTTAAATCCTCATGAAAATGGAAGGGAAGGGAAGAGAGAGGCACAATGCACTTATCTTGAGTGTTAGGAACCTCCAAAATGTCTCCAAGGGTCCCTAAATTTATGCCCAAGCAAAGTAAACCTCGTGTCTTTCATTTTCTCATTTTTCTCTCATCTGGTTTTAGTTTGTCTTACAACTATGGCATGTGGCACATAGGATCCTTCTTAAATTTATTCTCACCCTTTGATACTTGAATGGCCTGACTTCACTTCGAATCTGCATTTAGAGTGAAATCACAATCAATTACACAAATTTGACCCCTCAAGCCTACATGACATCAATAAACTTAATTATCCTCATTAAGCCCAATCAATCGAGTTTAAATTTCTAAGATGTTGCATCCTTGCTTTGCTTAAAGCTCCTCACCTTCTTTTCTTCATTGCCATTCTGATTGTGCATTATGATCCTTATCATTACTGTTTGAGAAGGTCTTTCATTGATCATGTTGCTCGCTTGCTATGGTCTATGTTGCTCAAGTTGAGAGTTTCTCTATTACAGGCTTAAAAGCCTTTCTCATACATTATAGAATCAGTTAGATATGATGCCTCAAACTTAATGCTTAATAACCATGCTATTCGCAACTCCAACTCTTTTTATTTATCATCTACCTCGCTTAAAAGCTTTTGTGGTGGTAGTCACCCAATTGCACTGTCGTTTCTACTGTGTTTTGAGCTCCACTACTTTGTTTACTTCGTTCGGCATTTAGAAATGGCAATGAAGGAGGGGTAGGTAATGGAGATGGTGATGGCAGCAATTCTAGTGTGATTATGGAGATGTCAATGTCAAATTGGTTGGTGATAGTGGCAAAAAACTTTTAGCATTATCTCATGTTCTCAGAAGGCCATCACTTCTTTTACTTATTAATATCCTACTTTTTTTATAGGAATGGATTGTGTTGCTCTTTACTACAGAACAAATTTTGTAACAAGGAATGGTCCATGTTGAATTTAACCTTTAAAAAATTAATCTTTTTTATTTGTTAATGTATTTTATATGTTAGTAAAAATGAATCTTATATTTTTATCTACTTTTTAAAAATTTTTAATTTTAAATTCCATATTTTTATCTAATAAAAGGCACATTAAGAGATTTTTATTATAATTTTATAATTTTATCCTTATTATAAATTTAATTTTATAATTCACCGTGTATCTCTTTCATATATTTAATTTGAAAATTTTTTATCATTTAATTCTACCTTTTTAAAAATTAAGATTTTCTATTTATGAACGCATTTTATATTTATAATATATTTTTTTAAAAAAATTTGAATTTTAAGTTTAACATTTTTTCTTAAAAATATCAAATTAGTCACAAGAACATATACAATAAAACTCATGTCCATTTATGTCATTATACATTTAAATTGACTTTTGAATCAAATCATTTAAATAAGTTTTAGTTTGTCCAACTGATTTTTTTAAAAAAATCCAAATATAAATCATGTTAACATCATAAACTTTTTTCTTAACTTTAATTTGTTAACCTTAGTTAATTCTAACATCAATTGTGTATTTTGTAATCCAACCACAGCCTTAAAGTTGTAAATATGGGTTAAGTTTGATGGCCTATCGGTTTAAATTTGTTTTTTTCTAAAATTTTGGGCTTGAAAAACTTATAAATTTTAGCGTGATAAGGTTTATAGGTAATGTAAAAAGGGCTTTAAGTAGTTTAATAGACTTGTTTTTCTTTTTTCCCATAAAAAATATTTTTTATTTTAAAATCTATAATATATGTTTATACTTTAAAATTAAGACTTATATTACTTATTTTAAAGTTGTAAAAGTTATAATTTATGTTTTTAAAAAATATGTAATATTGTAATGTAAAAATTAAATTTTTAAAAATTAAAAACTAGAAAGGATATATAGGTTTGCCTAAGCCTATTTAATAAAAGTCAAGCTAGAAAAAATAACTAGTTTTAAAGTAAATGAATTTCTAAACTCGAATTCATATAGACTAAACTTATAAGACCTAGACCCACCCATTTATTGGCTCTATTAAATTTAGAGTAAATATTGTTTTTTTTTAATTGCCACTTGATATTCAAGATTGTAACCTTTCATTTCAGTTCATTTCAATTAAAGAATTGTGATCTTAAGTTCTAAAAAATAATTCCCTTTTCATCTTAAATTATAAAACAACTTTAAAGAAATTTTGCTGTGTCAAGATATAACACTATTTGATAAAAAATACAACTTATTAATGATATTTTTTAATATTTTCTTTAAATAAAAAATAAATTAAAATGATATTATAACATAATGAAAACTCATATAATTTTGTTTTGAAAAAAATAAATTTGTAAAATATTATTATTATTATTATTTATATAACTATAAAATGGCCCTGCCACGTGCGGGGTTAGGGAGAAATTCATATATTATTTTAAATTTTTTTTGAACATTATTTAATGTGAGTATGTATTATGTGAAGTTCTGATTTGATAAAATGTGAGTTTCATATTGTAATTCAATGTATTGTTTATTTTTAGTAGATCATAACACATTATAATTGTTTTAATTTTCTTCTCTAGAAAATTTCACCCATATTAGATTGCATAAAATATGATTATAACAATTGAATAAAAATAGTAGAATAGATCTTTTAAGAAATATGTTAACATGATGTTATAAAAACTTTATTAAATGTTACTAGTTATGATTAGGTATGTTTTAATTTTTTTAAGCAAAGTGAAAAACATTATGAACATACAAAAATGTGAAAAAGAAATTACATCTTAAAAAGGGCCACCAATAAAATTTATTATCCATATAGTAAATGCATGATAAGATATTTTTATAACAACTTTTTATTTTTATTTTATAAATGTGAGTGGGGTATGGTAAAGGAGGTTAATCCTTGAACAATATGATAAACTAAGATTTAAATCTCAAATAAAATTACTTTTAATAAAAAAATACTTATAAATAATTTAAAAACTTGATATTTTTTTACAATATATATATATGTTTTTCACTTTTGTGCATACTAAAAACACAGACATGTTATTTTATTTCTAAACTTATTACTTACAAAAAAAAAGATAATTTAAAAATGATATGAACATAAATTATGTTAATTTGATGTCTTAAAAATATAATATAAAAATAATGTTTAAATATTAATAATTACGGTTAAATATGTTTTATTTTTTAATAAAATAAAAAAATAAGCATAAAAAAAGTATAGAAAAAACCAGTTTTCTTTTTTAAAAGGAGGAACTGATGGGTCGATGGTATTGGTAATTTCACTGTTTCATGAATAATGATTTTTTATATTTTATTATATAAAAATGTAAGGTATTTTTAATTAAATTTTACTTTAATTGAATAGTTATTTATTTTTAAACTAATATTATTTTTTCATATTTATCACCATTAAGTACTCTACAATAAAATAAAATTATTATCAGCAGAAATACTTTTAAAAATAATGATAATTATGTCTTAAAAGATTCAAATTCTTAAAAAATATTTCATATTTTTAAATGGATGAAGTAAAAAATTTTATTTAAAATTATTTTATAATTTAAAACGAAGGCGGAAAAAAAAAACAGTAACAGAGAGGGCGGACATCTCAAATTCTTTCTTTGGGTGCAAATGCAGGTTGAGCCATCAGAAACTAATCGCGTCGCTCTGCATGCGAGACTTGTTCGTCCCGAAAGCCAGCATCTATGCGGAGGAGCATAACAATTCATTTCTAATTAAGCAAGCTCCAAATTTCTCAAGCTAAGATCACATTTATTTTTGTGCTTAGGTGGAGACTAGAGAGATCTAAAGCGGAGAGAGAAGGTGAAAACTAGGGTCCTGACATCCCGGAAGAGGGTGAGGAAAAGAAGTCCAAGCCTAACTAGATAGGGCGATCGAGAACGACCCGTAAAAAGATGCCCGCTACTTCCTAAATAGTACTTTCCTCTTTTATCACATCCCAAGCCCTATAAAGCCTGACACACACTATAATTACTACTGTGTGTGAGCGTCTCCCCACCTGGGGAACCGAGCAATCTCAGGTCGACTCGGCTAATTGCTGCAGAATCCTCAATCCTGCCAAACTCTTTCTGTTTCCTCATCACCGCACCACCATCACTTCCTGATGTGACCTATCGGCTTTTATTTAACCTATGAACACCCAATTGGGTATTCTCTCCCACGTCACATCGCCACTGCCCCTCCTCCCCTCCCCCCTCCACTCTTTCCCTTCTGGAGTTCTGGGTATTCTTCTTTTACTGTGCAATGAACCAGAGCCATCGTATCAATCTACAATAGTTTGGTCCGCCTATACGCGGACATGTTTGTCAACTGAATTATTAGGTACTGTTTATTTTTTTCAAAATTTTATAGATTAACATTAAAACACAGCTAAAAATATAAGATAAAATCCAATGGATGTATTTTCTTAATTATTATTATTATTAATTATAAATATTGTCAACGTAACCCTCTTAATTCTAGTTTTCCCACATATAAAACAGTGAAGCAGCGTGGGACGTCCTCGTTTCAATAGTTGTTACATTTGCTTTTGTTTTTCCCTTCTATACACATACGCCACCCATACTTGCTTGATCATTAAAAGGCCTCTTCCTTTACACACACCTTCATTGCAAGGCCAGACGGCACCAGAACCAAAGCCCACCACTATCCCCTCCGGCACTCCCGTGATCCCGAGGGAAATTTCCAGGACCATTATCAAAACCCACCATGATCAACTGAAAAATTCCTCCCTTAGCTAAAAGCTCAAAATCCAACACCCTTTGCTTCGCCTTTTTCTGCATCTAGAAATTTCCGCTGTTCAAGAAATTTCTAGCTGTCTGCATCTGAATCTAAATGAGACGACCTTCTCAGTGACTAGGTTAACTGATGAGATTCTAGCCTATATTTAGCTTAATACCTGCATTGCTTTCCCATAATATATCGCTATCGTATCAGGCGCCCTAGGCTTTTGCGTTTGCTCAAATACACGAGAAGTTCCACCAATAGTCATCATCATATCATCCAACCTTGCTTCGCTTCACCTACTTTTTTTGTTTTTTTGTTTTTTTCTTTCTAGTTTCAGGTGAACTTCTTTGATTCCATTGTGTGTTAAAACGCAGCCAAATGCTTTTTTGTTTTGTTTTTGTCCTTATCGGAATTCTTATTCTATAATATTGATAATGTTCTTTGTTTTCTTACAAGGTGAAGAAGAAGAAGAAAAATATGGTGAGGGAGAAAATTCAGATTAAGAAAATCGACAACGCCACGGCGAGGCAGGTGACGTTCTCGAAGCGACGCAGAGGACTCTTCAAGAAAGCTGAGGAGCTCGCAGTTCTTTGCGATGCAGATGTTGCTCTTCTGATCTTCTCCTCTACCGGCAAGCTCTTTCACTACTCCAATTCAAGGTTTCTCTCTCTACATACCACCTTAATCACTGGCAAAATTATTACTGAACGGAGGGTTGCATTAGTCGATAGAAAGGTGTCTTTAACGCTAAATAAGTAAATATCCATACAGTCTGCTGAATAATGTGAAAAGCAGACTCCCTCTATAATCTCTACCTTTTCTTTTGGCATACCGGTGACCATGATACAGGAAAATAATTATACTGGCTGCGTGGTTGAACCTTTCATTTTATATTTACGTTTTAGTGGCGTGCGTGAGCACGAGGAAAGCAAAAAAAAAAAAACATATACCATAGAAATCAGTTACATTTTTTTTTAATTGTTGTCCCCCGCATCATTGAGAAGCATGGTCGCTTGGATGAGTTTTATATGTATGAATGAATCGTAAAAATACATGAGATAAATCTCTTACTTTTTTCTAGCTTGTTGTCAATTGAAAAACAGGATAAAAACTGCAAAACACAATGTTGGGGTAAATACTTAAAAGTAACGAGTGGGGGGTTTCAAAATGTTTATGTTTTCTGATAAAAACAAATCCGTGTCACAAGTGACCATGTTTGCACGGTATATAAAACAAGCCTAACATCTAGGACAAATAAAGACAAAACCTCAACCAAAGGATACATACAAGTTTATATGTTGTAGGCCTGAACTGATGATGTACTTTTTCGGTGACGAAAAGTTTCCAATGATCTCAGTCACAATTTCAATTATTTTAATCATTTATTTGTGATTTTATTTTTTTATCTAAATTATTCTGTATTCCTAAGATTTGGGATAAAATTGACTCATACATAATATGCATTTGGCATGAAATTGAACTAATCTCAGACTTTTGGGTGAAATTGATGTTTGCCAGTTGCCATACTATTCTTTGTCGAAATCACAAAGGCCTCAGGCCTATCATGCTACGCGGCCTTTTTTTTGGCTGGCCGTACGTCGTGATCTATTTTTGACCCTATATGTATTAGCCAGCCATATTCACGGCGAAGTGAATGTTTTAATTATATATGTATATATTAATTGATATATAATTATATATTGATGATTATTGAGTTACTGTGTACTTGGTGTTATATATAAATCTTGTCCGGTAACTTAACTATTTTATTGGTGGAGGTGGTTAACGTTTTGTTTTCCCTTTACTTTTTGATTAAAGGGAAGAGGTTAACATTTCTATTTTAAATATATACAATCTTAGATTTTAAGTGAGAATTTTTTAATTTATATCCTAAACACAAACGACAGAGTTTTTCAATAGAGAAATGATTATGGTAATAATTTCTAAATTCCAATATAATAAGTGTTTTTGTTAAATCTGAATGTGAATGCGCAAACATCATTAAATAACTAGGATTCAGCATTGTTCATCTGTGACAAAACTGGCGCGGTGGAGAACGAACCTGTGCCATAGTACTTGCCTCTAAAATATGATTCGATTGACATTTTACAAGGTTTGTGATCATTGTTGTTGACAAAACCTATCTTCCATGATCTTTTGCTCTATAAGGAGTCCTCTAACATACACAAGTCAGTTTCATCTATGAATTGTGGGCTCAGAAAATTCCATATGGCAACTTATCTTGTTGCCCGCCAATTTTTTCGGTACTCTTTGAAAGGGTTAATTTTGTGTTTCTGATTCTTTTTCCTAATCTCTTGATGCTTTAATTTGCTTCCTAAAGCCTGAAGGAAATACTAGAAAGGCATCATTTGCACTCAAAAAACCTCTCGAAGCTGGACCAACCCTCACTTGAGCTGCAGGTCTGTGAATCCTTTCTTACGTGAATAGTGAATCTGAATTTGTCATGGAAAAATCAGATTAATTTGAAGAAGCTGCATAATTTGCTTTTATACTGTAGCTGGTTCAGGACAGCAACTACTCGAGTTTGAGCAAGGAAATTACCAATAAGAGCCGTCAACTAAGGTGTTATTCCCTCAATTATTCGGTGAAAGATTTGTTTGTCATGTATCATCATGATTGTTGAAACAAAATACGTAAATAATATCTTTTATTAAAAAAAAAAATTACATACAGGCGGATGAGAGGAGAGGATCTTCAAGGTTTGAATATTGAAGAATTACAGCAGCTTGAGACGTCTCTCGAAGCTGGGTTGAGCCGTGTAATTGAAACGAAGGTCTGTTTCCGAGCAATACTATTTTGTAGAATCATTAGCTACTTCATGCTTGCTTCGTTAATTCCTCTAGTTAAAGTCTTAATGTTTGATTTCAGGCCCAGATGATGATGGATGAGATCAATGATCTCCAGAGAAAGGTTAGAGACTTGAACTTGGGATTTTTTTTTACGCGTTTTTTTGGCCACACTTTTTCCTGTCAACTAAAATCTTACTGAACCACCAGGGATTGCAATTAATGGAAGAGAACGAGCGTTTAAGACGTCAAGTAGGAATATCTCTTTGCTCTGTTTGGATGCCTGTCATCAGTTTTCTGTGATTACTAATCAATACTCTTTTTGTATATGTGTCGGGACTGAAGGCGACAGAAATGCCGAGTGAGGAAAGTGGTGCGGAAGAAGGTCAGTCATCGGAGTCTGTCGGTAACATTTGCTGCTACACTGGGCATCCTCGAGACTATGATGTTGCCAACTCAGACACGTCCCTTAGATTGGGGTGAGTTCGTTCAAGTACTTAACCATTAAATTAAATTATTCTTCATTTTGGGGGAAAGTTTAGTAGTCAGGCATATGAATGCATGGTTTAATCTTTGATGTGAGATCCGATAACCATCTTTTGATTTTAATTGAATTGATTGTCGATTTTTGAACTTGCAGGCTACCATATTCTGGCTGAAGGAAATTTCCAGGGTTGGAACTTCTGTGTAGAGAAACGAATCCATGGTTTAAATTTAAATGCAACGACCCAGAGCTAGGTATCTGTTGGGGTATGCATATACATCATCTAGAAAAGAGGAGAAAGTAGTTCCATTCCCTGGTTGTGCTATCCTAAGATTTTCTCTGCTAACCCTGCAATATGATGAGTCAAAGGTATGGATTTGATGAAATGTCTGGTATTAGGACCATCTTTTGTAACTAGTTATAAATTAAACTAGATTAATTGATGTACAATGGTTAAGCAAAAGAGTACGTGGAATTAGCCCCAGGAGGCTGGGATTAACTAGTTCTGTTTTTGTAATTTGCATGCATCTACGGCTGTCAAGTGTCAACCAACAGGGCCAGAAAAATTAATCATAATTTATACTGAAAATAAATATTGATATTTTTATAAAATAAATAATTTTAAATATATATTAAATTTTATTAATCGTGTAAGTTAATAAAATTAAATAATAAAAAATGCATAAAACAAAACATTATAATAAAATAAAATATCCTCTTCATGTAAATATTTTCTATATTTATTAGAATAGTGTTTAGTTTTCATTAAATAAAACTGATATACATCTTTTATATGGTAGGTAATTTTTTTGATAAAATTTTTCATAGGAAATTTTTTTTAAAATTTTTGCTTTTTCATTTTAAAACTATTGCTATTTAAGTTTATAAAATACACATGTAAAATTTAAAATAATGAAATAAGTAAACTTTTATAAAGGAATAAGTGAATATTTTTTCAGGTAAGAGGGCAATTGAAATTTTTTAACGCGACAAGTAAAATTATTTAAGATTATCTTAGTAATTTCTTCTACATTATTAATGGGGGCAATTACCCCTCTATCATAATGATTTATCATTTATTCATTATTCCATTGAACTCAATACAATATGCCTAATACGTATGCAATAATAAAATGAAACACAATCATAATTTCATAACCAGATTCACCAAATCTATTATGAACTAATAATGTAACAACCTAATGCCTACTCTTTGGCATATTCTCTACGATGTTCCTGTGGAATACGAAGCTAGATATGATGGTCAACTGGGATAGGTTGATAACTTCAATGTTTGAATCAAGGTGGAACGAAATTACAGTATGTGGTGAACTATGGAGAGAAGTTATTGACTGGCCGATAAAAAGGGATGGTTAATTTGAAATTATATGCCCGATGATAACTTCTTCCCCTCATTTAGAAATATAAAATATTTTTAATTAAATTTTATTCTTTAATAAAGTATATACTTATTTTTAAATTAATCATATTTTTTTATATTTACATTTATTAAATAATTTATAATAGTCATTATTAATAGGAGTATTTTAAAAAAAATAATTATATTTCAAAACTTTAAAAATACTTTATATTTTTTAACATTCAATTTGTTAAAAAATACTTTATATTTTTAAGTAAAAGGAACGTAAAATTTTATTTGATTTGATGAGTTTGAAAGGACAACATTTGTTTTTGGATCATTTGATGGTGTGAGAAATGGGGAGCAACCACCTGGGATTGGGGGAGGAGAGGAATAACAAGCTAGAGTGGCAGAAAAATACTATATCTAACTTGACTCAGATAATTAAGAATGGAAATGATCGCTCGAGAAGGGGGAAGAAAAAAAGACGGGCAAGAGTAGTGGGTAATGATAGAGTTTAAGTGTTCAAAGTTTTTATTTGAATCGCAGACAGTGAGCCCACTTAGGGCTAGGTTCAAGTGGGTAATGATAGAGTTTAAGTGTTCAAAGTTTTTTTAATGGATGGATGTAAAAATTCAAAGTTAAAATCCTCCTAATGTAATTAATTAAAAAAGATATATATATATTTTAAGCCAACGGTAATAGTAGCCCAACAAATCTAAACCCCCCAATACGCGTGACAAAAATCACAAAATTACCCTCGTATAGCTTTTATTCTTTATTTTTTCGGCCAACACCCTCGTATAATTTTTGAATACATTTCTATTAGAGGTGTTCATAGGTTCGGTTTGGTTTAGTTTTGGGCAAAAATAAACCGAACCGAACCATTCGGTTTACTGATAATTGAGACCTGATCGGTTTTTTGAAGTTCGGTTTAGTTCGGTTTTATTTTCGATTTAATTCGGTTTGGTTAAGGTCTTGATCAAGTTTTAATGCACTTGTTTAATTTTTTTTTCCTTTTCTCCATCTTCATAATGGTGCTATGTACTAAAATTAAATTTAATTCTTTTTGACTCCTTTTTTTCATAAATAGAGATATAAAAATATAATAAAATTTCAATGTGATAACAATAATTAATCATAAAAATTGATATAAGTTTTTAAGATTAAAATTATTTAATATTATGTATTTTCATTAAAATCCTTTGAAAATGTTTATCTATGTATCTATATTTTAATAAATAATGAAAAACTTATTATACAAAATTCAAAACAAAATGTTTTTTGTAGATAAATTGAATGCTGAGGCTTTTAAGTTGTAAATAATTAAATGATGATCATAGTATGATTATTATAATCACTTAATATTATGCATTTTCATTCAAGTATTTTAAAAATATTTATTTATTACTAGAAAAAATTCAAAACAAAATGCTTCTTGTAGATAAATGGTTATATATTTTACAAATAAATAAATAGAATTTTTTTAATTAAGTTTGGTTCGGTTTCTTGTACTCAAAACCGAACTTGAACCGAACCAATCGGTTTTTATAATATAAAAACCGAAGCGGACCTGATTGTTATTCAATTTTGATCGATTTTTGTTGGTTTAGATTGGTTTGGATTGGTCCTTTCGGTTTGAATCAGTTTTGAACACCCTTAATTTCTATAGAACAAAATAATAATGTGGACCTTCGCACGCACGGAGGGTCGTTAACAACACGTGGTTACCGGCAAAATCGAATCTCGCGGAACGCTGGCACGACACACGGTACCTCCGCGCCCTCTCTCTTGCTCCCAATATGAAAGGCCTGACTCTTCGTTTCTCTTCCATTTCTCACTCCCTTTTTCGCACTTTCTCTCTCCCGTCTCTTCTTTATCTGCGATCTCTTCCACCGCCATGGATGAAGAATATGATGTTATAGTGATCGGAACCGGACTCAAAGAATGCATCCTCAGTGGCCTCCTCTCTGTTGATGGACTCAAAGTACTCTTCCGAATTACTCAACAAGTTTTTTCCCCCCTTTTTCTTTATGAACAAATGTGCACCTCTCGTTCCTTCAATTTGATCTGCGCTCGAAGTTTTTTCCAATGTTTTCCCCCTGAATATTTAATTCTTAATAACATGACATCTGGATTACAAAAGAACGGAACAAAATGATGATAGATTGTAAGAGGTGCTTTTGTAATTTTCTATCATCTTGGGGCTTTTAAATGATCAATCGGTGTAGTTTTCGCCACAACTACCTGGGACTTAAGAGCATGAACTGGTTTGGTACTGAGTTTCACTGTCTCGACTTGTATCAGGTGCTGCATATGGATAGAAATGACTATTATGGAGGAGAATCAACATCGCTTAATCTCAGCCAGGTAACCGTTTAGTGTTTGTCTGAACTGGTTTCACTTTTTAGCATTTACATGATTAGTGATTACTGCCATGAATTTCCTTTTTGCGTAGCTTTGGAAGCGATTCAGGGGCGATGGCAGTCCTCCAGAGCACTTAGGCTCAAGCAAAGACTACAATGTCGATATGATCCCAAAGGTGTGCAGAACGAGTACTATCTGATATGGACTCTCTCTTGGCTTTTGCTTGCGTGCATAATCTGTTGTTTCGCTTTGATATTTGGGAAGTGCCTGTTTGATTTTTGAGCCCATTTTTTGTTTTTAAAAAATAATTTGTAATACAGTTTTCATAATTGTATTTTAAAACAAAATAAAATAAAAATATATTTAAATATGTTAATTTAAAAACAGTTTAAGAATTTAAAAAATTAACTGCTAGTGATAATTATAAGTGATAGAATAAGCAAATGTATATTTTTTAATAATCAAATATAATGTATTTTGAAAATAAGAAAAATAAAATGAAAACACTTTTAATATGTTTCCATTTTTTTATTTAAAAACAAAAATAAAAACAATTTTAAAAACAATTATCCAAATTGAGCTTTTTTAATGTTTTTTTTAAACAAAAAATAATTTTTTGAAAACAGCAATCAAACAAACCCTAACTTATCAAGAGAAATTCGTATGAAGCTTGAATCGGTACATGGAATGTTGAAGTACTAGCCCAGAGGACATACAGGTAAGACTGAAACTGTGATCCTCTGCTATTTTGCATTTGATTTTCTTGGCTTTTCATATTCTAATAAAAAACCAACTGCTAAACCATTGGTGTTGGTTAAAAGTTAGTAGTCCATAATTTGACCTGCTGATACAATTTTGATTGACATTTAATTTTGGCCAAATTTTATTGAAGGTAAGAATTAGTTTAGATTGGAAAAAGAGCATTACCAATCTAATGCTAGAGACTGTCCTACACTACTTAGTGCTTACCATTACTATTCTAATCATGCTTCAACAGTTCATGATGGCCAATGGAGCTTTGGTTCGTGTTCTCATCCATACCAACGTTACAAAATATCTGAATTTCAAGGCTGTGGATGGCAGTTATGTGTACAATAAAAAAAAGGTACGGGATTCTGATGTTAGCTAAATTTTTCTCAAAGTCTTGTCATTTATTTTCTGAATAAAATGTAAACTGATGACTTGGATTGCATTCTTCAGATTCATAAAGTACCAGCAAATGATGTGGAGGCTTTAAAATCTCCCCTTATGGGATTGTTTGAGAAGCGGCGTGCTAGGAAGTTTTTCATTTATGTACAAGACTTTGATGAAAATGATCCGAAATCTAAAGAAGGACTGGACCTTAACATAGTTACAGCAAAAGAACTCATTACGTACTATGTCACTGCCATTTATTTTCGAGTGCGTGTGTCTGTGTGTGATTGATTTCAGCACTTTTTCTTGCACATTAGATTGCAATTGAAGCTGAAAAGTGAGACTTCTTGTTACAGTAGAGTTCTGCATAATTTTGTAAGAGTAAATTATAGAAACATTCTTTTATGTTTTCTTTTTAATTTTACGAATCTCTAGTCTATTTTCAAAATATCTTTTTGTTTAATTTTCTTACTAAGATATCTTCCACAAAGTAATATGTTGAGAGGTTAAACTAAAGCGTTGATTCTTTTTTTCAGAGAAGGCTAATGTGTATTTTAAAAATAAAGAGGTTAATAAAATTTTTTAACAAAATTCAAAAAAATATTTGTATAATTCATTTATTTTCTAATCATAAAATT